GAAAAACTCAGACTTCCTCTTATGGGTTAGAGTAAATTTTTAAATTTAAAAATCTGTGATGTTTATTAGTTGTACATTTGTTTGTTTTGTTGATCATTTGTAACATAAACACATTGTTGATAATACAAATATCCAAAAGAGCTGAGTTCAAATTTTCTCCAGTGAAAGATGTTATTTCTGATCTTTAGATCAGAACACTATTTCCTTTTCTCTGTGTCAAACGAAAGTAAAATATAAACAGCTTCTCCCCAAATCCCCAAAATCTCAGCAATTAGGTGTGTGCTATGAAAAAACAAACAAGCATCAGCAGCTATGGTGGCTAAAGACTGTTTTTCTGGTTATACACTGTTAGACTTTATTAAAGATCTCAAACATTTATGCTCCCTGAGGTGACGTGGGTGCCCTCTCTTACCTGAGGAGCCGGAGTTCTGCCAGCAGGGTAGGGTTTTGCTGTGCCTTCTCTGGTGTGGGCTGGGAAGCTTGTTCATGCTCTAGCCGAAGTCTCTGGATCTCCTGTAAGATTTCTCTTGGGAGAGAGGAGGAAGATGAGAAATTAGGGGCAATTAGCTTCCAGGATACTAACAGCAAAACAGATCAGGGCCACCAGAATAAAGAGAGAAGGGACCATCCCATGTTTAGGGGCAGAACTGACCTTCACTAACCAACAGACTCACTGTGTTTATGAGGCTTTGGCTGTAGCTAGGGGGGAGCTGTGGGGGAGGGGAAGGCTGACTTCATGTCCAGCACATTTAAACCCTGACGGTTCTGTAGTGTGTTGGTCAGTGTTAGCACCGGGACCCAGTAATCTCTCTAGTAAGTAGCATGATGCTGCGGTAATGTGTTCAACTTTGAAGAGCACACTGCTTAAAAGACAAAAATGGATCCTCTATTATTTATGACACCATAAAGTACCAGCAGCTACCAAGAAAGGACACTTGGAGGGAAAATAAGGATAAATGGTGGTCATTTTACAAAACTAAATAACCTCATTCTCTCAACAAGAAGGAAATTCCCCTCACTGAATTTATCTGAGAAACTCCCATTTAGGCAAAATTTTTCCTCTTTTTTCTTAACACTCTAAGCCTTAACAATGGAGGAGGCCTTAGAAGGAAAGTGCTTTTAAAAGGATCCACGGTAATTGAGTCTGTGACATAGAGCACTATTGGTGTGACCTCGGGGGTGAGATGTGTCAGTCTATTATTGATGTTGGGGCCTGGACTTCCCTGCATTTGGGTGACATTAGCCTGGCCATAAAGGATATGAGACCTGTGCAAGGCAAATTATCCCTAAGCCAGTCAGAAGCCATTAAGCAAGGTTACAGGTCACATATTCTTGGGGGCTGGAGGTGGGGTCAGTCTCCTACTCAACAAAATGCACAAGAGCCAGCACGACAGAACACCGAGAACTGAAGGTGACTTGGTGAGCAAGGGAGTAGCTTTCCATTTGAAAGTCTGATTTATAACTGCCTGCGTCACAAACACACCAGAATCAGGAGGCTAATTACCAGTGAGTCTTTTTTTCTTTTTTTGAGACAGAGTTTTGCTCTGTCACCCGGGCTAGAGTGCTGTGGCATCAGCCTAGCTCACAAACTCCTGGGCTCAAGCGATCCTCCTGCCTCAGCCTCCCGAGTAGCTGGGACTACAGGCATGTGCCACCACATCCAGCTAATTTTTACTGTTTTTAGTGGAGAGGGGGGGTCTCACTCTTGCTCAGGCTGGTCTCGAACTCCTGACCTCAAGCAATCCTCGTGCCTCGGCTTCCCAGAGTGCTAGGATTACAGGTGTGAGCTACCGTGACCAGCCACCAGTGAGTCATTATACCTTTTGTGAGTATGGTGAAAAGGTTGGACTATAATTCAGTGGTTTTCGACCTTTTTTTGCCCCCTTGGTGTTCCATGGTGGAAAACTTTCCTTAAAAGAAATCTTCCATGGAAACACAATATGTGAGACAGTTAAGAGGGGGCTGCCCTGGCTAAAGAAAGAGTGGGCCCCTGTGCTGCTATCTCTTCCTCCCCCTCTTCAGGTGCCTCTGTAGAGCCCCCAGGGTACCATAGAGCTCAGCCTGAAAATCGGAGCACCAGGATTTCCAAGATTTCCTCCAGGGCTAACATCCTGATATTTTATGACTCCTGTTGGTTCTCCTTGTGGGTTGTAAAGACAGAACCATGACAGAACCATGTAGCCCAAGGAAGGAAAGGAGAGTAGTAGTTCTGGTAAGAAAACATAATGAAGGGATATGTAATGTGCATTGAGTGCTTAGTCTGTACTCAGAAACTGTGCTGTCATCTTTAAGCTTATTTTATTTAGTCCGACAATGATTCTATTATTTAGGTACAATTATCATCTCTAGTTCACGAATGAGGAAATAAAGGCACAGACCAGTTAAAAGACTTACCCAAGTTCAATAATAAGCAGGTGCCAGAGGTGATTTGGAGCTAGGCTGGCTAGCCCCCAAGCCCATATATATATATCAGACCGCCTCATTCTTCTCATACTTGCTTCCACAAGTCTAGCCAAGGCAGGCTGTGACTCATACAATGTAATTTGAAGATTCCTGTTAGTCCTAATACTGACTGGCTCTTCCAAGGGTGCTATACAGAAGCATTATCTTCTGGAGATCATCACTGAAATGTGCATGGATTATTTAAGTAGACAGAGTAATGAAGTGATGTGAAGAACTCTATCTTCTCCTTAAGCTCAAGGACCTGATTATTGAGTTAATTATCACCTTGGAGACACAGGACCCCTGGGAAAGTTTCCATGGTGCAGGAATATGACCTGGATGAGCTTCTGGGACATGGCCCTGGGGTCTTTGGATAGCATGAGGCTGCTGGCTTAGAGAGATGAGCTCAGGATAGACTGGCTGCTGATCAGAGAAGGGGTGGAGAGCTCTAGGAGCCACAAAGGAACTCAGGGACAGAATGAAGCTCTCTTGCTGCCATCTCTTCTCATTCCTATTTCTTTTTTCTCTTTCTGGTCCTTAAAAACATGCATGTAGAGAGTGCAATCCAAAAACATTCAAGGAAACAATCCATAAGAGTGGTATTGAGGCACAGTCAGGGCTACTAGGACATTCATGGAGCTTCCTGTTGAAAGCTCCATGAATAGATAAATAGACCCACATGCAGGAAGATATCCCTGCAGTATTTCCTCAAGAGAAGTCCTAATATCCCCTCAAGTGTGCTATCCTCATGCCCGAGTGGAAGCAGAGGATTGGAAGAGAAAACAAAGTGCTCTGGAGAAGTGGAAGAGCAGGTTAATGCTGCAACCAAGATAAGGTAATTGTGGGCTGTGAAGTTTTACTTTAGTCTTTTCTTTCTAAGAAGGGATGTAGGAGTGATGCTGGAACTTGTGGGAAATCAGGCCAGGTTTGACCTTCTCCTGAGAGTGCACAAAGACTCTCTTTGCCCTTGACATTTTATCCCTTATTCCTACCCTCAACCTCTGACTTTGCTCTTCCCCTCAGGACAGATGGACTGGACCCAGAGAGTGAAAGAAAAGAGGGCTGCTAGTGAAATCTGACTTATATAAAGATTATTGCTGAAAAATCCAGATTCCCTTATAGAAAGTTTAGAAATGAATAATCAGAGAATCTTATAAATTAACATTCCAGCAATGTTTATTCTTTTCTCTAGTCATCTCCTGTTTTGGTTCCTTTGTTTTCATTTCCGGTACCATCTATTTAATGTAGGTCCTCATCACTTCCCATCAGCTTCTAGGTCAATCCCTTGTCAACGAAAGCTGCATATTTAGTAAGCTGATTATTTTGCCATAAACATGCAGACATTCTGTCACTTGCCTGATCACTGCTGTCCATCATGACAGGATAAAATTCAAATTCTTTGACCTGGTGTGCAAGCCTCATACACTAATATTGCCATTTCACTCTTCATCTCAGCCCCTTGGTGCTGCCTGGCAATTGTCTTCATCGCTTTTCTCAATGTCTGTGTATATTTTTACTCATAATCCTATCTCCCATCTTTCACTGCCAAATTTTACTGTCTTGAAATGTCCAGCTAAAAACCTACCTTGTCCGTCAAGTTTACCCTACACAAGCTAGACCACAATGATGGTAAAGTGGGTCATGTTGGGGAAAAAGGGTAGAAATGACACCTCATTTTTTAATTTTGATCTGTACAATGGGCATGATAATAGTCACCCTGCCTACCTTAAAGAGCTGTTCTGAGGATGAAGTGAAACAATATCTGTACACGTGTGCTATAAATACATAAGATTGTTGTTATTCTCTCTTCAACACCTCAAAACAAAGACCCAGGTTTCTTCCTGCTGCCACCTGGAAGCTCTAATGATATTATTAATTCTGGCTGTGGTCTTCTCCCCACTGGATGGCTCCTTGCTGGGTAGCAATCAAAATACGTTTTAGAGAAAAGGGACTTAGGGTTGGAGAAGGGAGTGTGGGACAATGTCTGTAGAAACTCTGAATGAACTGGCTATAGAGAGACTCAGGTCCTTCTCAAGAAAATGGCCTCAACTCTGGCATAGTTCAATCAGGCCTCAAGCTGGCATAGCCTGCTAAATCCAGATAAAATGGTTGATTTTACCACTCCTTTAATCCTTTCTTCTTTACCTCTTCTCTGCTGACTTGATTATGGGATACTCACTGACTTATTGACATATATTTATTCTGACTGAGTCATTTTGAGCCTTTCCTATCCCATGTTATAGTGTTACCCTGTTGACTAAAAGAGAAAAAAAACCCTCTACATTACAATTCTAACATTTCCTAAGGTTACCAAGAGTAATGTTTTGTTCTAAAGAAGTTGAAAATTTGGGTTAAATCTAATTGTCAAGAATTTAAAACTGGTCCATTTTGCTTTGCTTTTCTTTTTTCCTTTCCGTGCCCTTTCTGGTGCCCAAATTGATGTAATGCGTCGAGACAACATTTGTACGTGGCCCCTCTATTCACCTCCTGCTCAGCACCATCAACACTCACACAACCCTTCCACCAACCTGAGAGTCCACAGTGGTTCTTTTACATTGTTTGCTCTGAGTACTTCTCTCAATGCCTTTTCTGACTTAGCACAAGTATTTGCACATAGTAGATACAATAAATGTTATACAAAATAGGATAGGTAATTTTATAGACTTGTGACTGTCCTGAGCAAATTTTAATTTGTTCTGTCTAATTCTCCATGCTTCTGCTCTCTCTTCTTAATTCTTGCCTCTTATTCCTTGATAAACTGAGAGGGAACACATGTGGCAAACTGATGTGATCACATCTCCTTGGGGGTCAGAGTAGAGTAGCAGTTTCAAAGGCTATGGAGTCATGGAGTCACGTTGATGAAGCTATTTCTGTTTTAATTTGTGGTTTCCTAATGATGAGAACCAGGTTCTAAGAAAATTAAGCCAAAAGCTTTTTTACTAGAAAAAATATGAAAATGTGCCAACAGAGTTTGCATCTTCCTTTTTATCTTTTTCTGTAGAACTTTAAAGAATACTTTGATCATTTATCCCCAAATTCTCAGGTCAGACTTTCCAGGCATGAAATAATGATCACAACCTCCTCCTTCACTTTACCAGTTTGATCTCAGATGTCACATCAGTGACATCTGAGAATGGGATTTAAGAATGGGATTTAGCATGAAAACATTTGGGTGCTTTTCCAAGAAATATAGAATGAACCAATTGTTCCTATGTTGGGCTTACTCATCACTGAGTTTGAGATTCAACTCAGCTATTCATTACTTTCTCACTCAATGTATATTTACTGAGCTTCTACTATGCACTGGGCAGGGTTCTGGGCCCCAGGGGCCATTTGGCGTGGTCTCTGTTCTCAAAGAACTTCCATTTCAGTCAGGGAAGACAGACAATAAATAAGAAAACAAACACATAAATACAGTTATTTTAGACACTGATAAGTGCAACAGACACACACACAGGTGGATGTAATAGAGAGTGGTTTCTGGGGTAGGGTGTAGTGGGCAAGATTAGACAGGTGGTGTTTTAGGAGGTGTCATTTGAGCTGACACCTAAATGATGAGAGGAGCCCTCCATGCAGAGACCTCAGGGAAGAGTCTTCTAGAGAACAGAACAGCTAGTGCAAGGGCTGTAAGGCAGAGGAAGCGCCACAAGAGATTGGAGTGTGGTGAGCAAGGTGAGCTGAAGCCAGAACAGCAGGCAGGAATCAGCTCGGGTAGGACCTTGCAGGCCATGGTAAGAGGCGGGGGTTTTAAGGAAAGTGGGATGGGAAATCATTAGAGAGTTTGACCCAGGAATGACATGATATGATTGATGTTTTTAAGAAGGACTGGTTGGATTAGCTGGTGGTGGAGATGAAGTGAACAGTTTTAGGGTGCATGTTGTGGAGGTAGACTGTGAACCAATCTGTGTTGAACAGAGGAAGGACCTGCTGCTGGGCTGAAGGTGGAGGTATTTGGGTGATGGTGGTGTCACTTCAGATGCCTCTTTTTTTTTTTTTCTGAGACAGGGTCTTGCTCTGCTGCCTGGGGTAGAGTGCAGTGGTGTCATCATAGCTCACTACAACCTCCGACTCCTGAGCTCAAATGATCCTCCTGCCCCAGCCTCCCAAGTAGCTGGACTATAGGTGCACGCCACCACACCTGGCTAATTTTTCTATTTTTTTTCTTTTTTCTTTTTTTTTTATTTCAGCATATTATGGGGGTACAGATGTTTAGGTTACGTATGTTGCCCTTCCCCCCCCGCCCCCCCAAGTCCGAGTTTCAAATATCTATTTTTTTTAAGTAGAGACAGGGTCTTGCTCTTGCTCAGGCTGGTCTCAAACTCCTGAACTCAAGCAATCCTTCCACCTCAGCCTCCCAGATGCCTCTTTAGCCCAGGGTCTTTACAGGGTGCCTCCCAGGTGAGCCTCCTACTTGTCTCTGGGTAGTAGAAACACCTTGTGCCTAGCTCCTGAACAAAATTAAGCATGTCAGAAAAAGGGAAATGAGACTGTCTAGAAAGACAGCATTAATTTCACTGACATCTCAGACCTGTATACACACACACACACACATACAGTTATATCATGAAGCTTCTGAAGATCTAAAGATTTAAACACCAGCTTTTCAGAAGCCAGCACCATTGACTGTGGAAGTCTTCCCTTGAAGTCTTCCCAGTGTGAAAAGCCTGGAGACTTTAAGGCACAACAATAGGTTATTAATGAACGTACCAAGTTGCTCAAACAAGCTAACATGTCTACAAAGCCTTACCTGTTCTTGTTTTCTAGTTCTGCGATCAGCTGCCTCTGTTGCTTATTTGCATCAATGGTGAAGGAGATGTCAGGAGCACTTCTCTGCTGAGTTGGCTGCTGTAAAATATGTAGTTTACACAATTTAATATTGGGAATGTGAACCTATGTATTTGGGAAGACAGAAGTCATGAGATATGTAGACAAGGAAGAGGAAACTATTTCTACCAAAACTATGACAACAAAAAAGCAAATACAGAAAATTAAATTGCCATTCGTCTCCTAAGGACCAACTTTTCTGTGGATCTGAAGCACATCTATGCAACGGAAAGCAGAATGGAATTCTTCAGCAAGCAAATATACAAGACATATAAAAACTGTTCTTCAGCTTCCTGACCTGAAGTTTTTGGGAAGCTATTTCATTCTTGCCAAGCTATCCCCGTTGCAACTATTCTCTCAATACAGGTGTTGAGATGGCTGTTTCTATAGCATTACTGTTCAATTACTGTAATGTATAATTAAAAATTTCATAGTTTTTCAGTCATAGTTCATAAGTCATATTTTTCTGCTTCTTTTGATTACCAAATTTTTATGCATTTATCTATTCATATGTGTAACTTTACATTGATGGATTCATATGCATGTATTTGCTTCTTCTACCTTCAGGTGACACCAGTTCATCATTCTTGGTCATGCAATCAGCTTTATCAATTGGTATATATACAGTCATGGATTTCTCCATTCTTATATAAGCATATGTATCCTAAATCATGACATACCATATTTATATGTCTGTCTGTATAGAGACAAGGGTTTATTTGGTGTTGTTTTATTTAAAAAAAATGGTTTCAGATTATCTACTGTTGTCTGTGCTTTGCTTTCTTTGCTCTACAGTACATTGTAAAAATTCCTCCAAGCCCATTTTTATTTTTAAAAAAAAACTTTTAAAAAATCACAACTGATCTTTCTACTGAAGAATGCAAAGCTTTTAAAAATAGCACCTGAAAAGATAAGGAGAAATTCAGCCTGCTTTTTAATGTCCAGAAACCTAACTGTAAGAATGGTTAAGTTTAGTAAAGGTCTGGCTTTTAGAAAGCTGTTCTGTGATTTTTAATTCACATCTAGCTTAGCGAAGAAATTACTAGCATTGCTAATGAGGAATTTTGTATCTTACATTTTATATCCTCAATGGCTTTCTATAGCTAAATCTGGCATACGGCAGTTTTGACCTGTGATCCAGGTTTTTCTCCTGATTTCACTACATAAGTTTCTCTTTCTTGCATATATTTTATGTACTGATAATGGGTAGAAACTATCTGAGCCAGTTGTGGATTTCAGGCATTGCTTTTCTCTCTATATTCATTGATCAGAAATTATCCAGACATAAATGGACCCAAATAAATGACCTTTCTATCTCCTTTCTAATCTGGTGTCATCTTACTAATCATGATTTATTTAGCTAATCATGGAATTCTCGATATGTGATTATGAAGAGATTTACAAAGGAACTAGAATTAATGTGTAGATGATATCTTTCCCATGATGCATCCACAAAGGATATATAGGATATAAGTAGGCAAGGGACACAAGTTACTAATGTTCTCGAGACAAAAATGGAACAAAGACTGGAGAAGTTAGTGCACATGTAAATAATAACATGTGCACAGAGATTTAGCAGCCTACCAGGGATCACTAATTCAAATGTTGAAAGGGGCCAGCGAGGTAACCCAAATGAGAGAAGGGGGCCAGGGTATGGGTTGTGGCAAAGTGCCGCATTCTTGCCCTGTCCAGACCAGACAAAAGACTGTCTCTACTCGAGCAGCTTGCTGCCATGAAAAACATGAGCCTCATCTTGTCAGTCCCTCAGGGTAACCTGAAAATCCAAAGTTTTAAGGAAAACCACCTGATCTGTAAATTCTGACAGCCACCAAAGAATTAAAAATACTGTGGGGCCTAACAAAGCATTTCTGTGGGACAAATTTGGTCTTTAGGCTGCCATTTTGTGACTGCTGCTTAATGCAGCACTGTTGTACATTTTATTATCTCACTGGACCCTAATAACAGGCTGCACTGACATATATAATAATTGTACTTATACCCACTTATGGATGAGAAAACTGAACTCAAAGAGGTGGTGCTTTGTGTGATCATAGAGACCTGGGACACAGACTCAAAATTCCACATTGCGAATCCGTCTTACTATATCATATCCTCTGCTTATAGAGGTATATGCACGATAAAGGCAAGAAAACTTGGAAATGAGGTTTTTCCAGAAGCCTTGTTTTGTCTTTCTTTTCAAGTGACTCCCAAAGGGGTTGCTTGTTCTAAAATCTAGTTCTCCCATATTCTCTTATTTTTATTTTCTTTAGCATGTTTGTTCTTTATTTATGGCATTTAAGATGTCATATACTGCAATTGTATCTCTGTTTTACCATGTCTGATTTGGGGGCCAGACAGTACACTTTTTAGCCTGCCATGGACTCTTTCATCTTGCTCATGGTAGTTTCTAAGAGTGTTACAGTCACTGATGTCACAGAGAGCAAGTGCCAGGGCCAATGCAATGGGTCATTATGCAGCTCCCATCTGGGATCATTAGAGAAGTGCTCGGCTCTGATAATTGCAACATCTACCATGAGCGGAGCAGGCAACAGCTTCCTCACTGGCTTCCCTGCCACTCACTGTCCTTTGTGATGCCCTAATCACAGCTCACCCTCAGTTCAGCACAGATGAATTCTGAATCAAGGTGTCAAACTGTTGCTTTTGTCTTAGAGACAGAAGCAAATGGAAAAAGATATCAGCTCTGTTGCCTCTACTAGTATATTTTAAGTGTCACTTGCAACTATTCAGTCTTAAACCTAGAGCCTTCACTGAACACACCTGCCTTAAATCCATTTTAAAAAAATCACAACCAGTCCTTGTCCCCTTCCTCAGTATCTCCTATGGGGTTGACACTGGGTGAAGGGGGACATGGAGCTTCCTGCTTGACTGCAGGGCCACGCTACTGTAGATAGTTTTGTTCCTCAGATCTGCCATTTTTAAACTGGAAATTCACCACCAGATACACCAAACATAGCAACAAACGCATGGACAATAAATTGGCACAAATTGTCCTGGTCATCAGCATCAGCTATAATGGTAACAGTGAACATAACATGAAATTCAAGGACTCCAGAGGCCAACAGATGAATCCTTCCACTCAAACTACTTACAGACGAGGAGGACTCTGCTGCCAGCCTTGCCGCATACCTGGCGATCAGCCTGTGTTCTTCATCAAGCCGGTTTGAACTCTCCAGCATGCTACCGAGAACAGAGCAAGAAGGAGACTGTTAGGCAACTGAGAAAGACTGACGTATTCATATTACCATCAGAGAGGTCTGCTATTTCAATTTTTCAGTGCAAACAATTTACAAGCCATACAAAACCCTGTTAGATTAATGACCTCAGACTTGGACTCATGACATGATCTAATATGTGGCCAGGAAGGTCATTAATAAATCCTGTCTTCAGTCAATTCAATTGTCTTACTAAGAAAGCACCAAGGAGAGGTGACTTTTCTGATCAATATTTCTGATACAATTTCTCCTTAATTTTATTGGCTTTAACATTTTTATTTCCTTATTACAAAAGTAACACATGTCCAAAATTGACATAATAGAAAATATGGAAGCAAGAAGAAAGGAAAAAAAAATTGTGGTGAGTGTCCAGTGATCCCTATCTACTGGTATTCACATTCTTGTGTAATCTCTTCCCCTTTAGTATGGGCTGGACGTACTGAGTTGCTTCTAATGAATAGAATATGGCAGAAGGAATGGAATGTCGCTTCCAAGATTAGGTTATAAAAAGGCCATGGCTTCCATCTTGGGCTTATTTTCTTTCTCTTGAGCTCTCTTGGATAGTTTACCTGGTGGGAAGCTAGCTGCCATGTCCTAAGGCAGCCCTGTGGAAGACCCAGGTGATAAAGGACCCAAGCAAGTCAATGACCATGTAAATGCATCTCTGCTGGTAGAGCCTTCAGATGAGATCACAGTCTGAGCTGATGGCTTGATTGTAACTTCATGAAAGTCCTTGAGCCAGAGGCACCTAGCTAAGCCAAACCTGGATTTGTGACCTACAGACTGTGTGATAATAAATATTTGTTGTTTTAAGCAGCTAAGTTTTAGGGTAATTTATTATACAGCCAGTAGATTACTAATACGATTCTCATCTATAGTATTTCTACCCAGGTAACCTGCTTTTTCTATGTACTTCTTGAAAAGTGGAATTATAGTTCTTGCTCCCCATGACACTAATGGGAATTGTTTAGTATCTCCTATAAATTTATAGAAACTGTTCATGCTAAAATAAGGTAGATCTGAGTCCCTAAAGACTAATGCAAATGGAAGCATCATCACTTCTACTATATTTCAAAAAATTTCATCTCTGAAGCCTTTCATTCAATATTAAATTTTGGGTGCCATTCAAAAAAATTCTGTGAAACGTACCAATAACACTAACCCTGTTAACAGATTAGTTGGTGGTAGTTTGGCTAATCAGTTATTGTGTTGTGTATTAGGTCAGAATCAGGATCAGAAACTACTTCCTCTCATTCACAATCATACTTATATTCCTCTCCATCAGCTCTTATACTTAAGCCTGTTCCTTAAAGAAAAAAGTTAATACTCATAAATATATATTAAAGAAGATCCACTCCTATGCCAGTATTACGGGTGTAAGAAGTATTCATCGCAATGATTTGGATCCATATAAAGTAACATACAATTATATTACTTATATTAACATTTACATATAAAGTAAACATGCAACATAGTCTCTTAACCTTTGTTCTAAAGTGAAAAGATGAGTGAAAATCATTACGTACTTCCAGCATGTTGGCTAAGTCCCTTCCAAAATAGCTCCTCCCTTGTTGTCTGAATCCTTTACTGTGACATTTTTTTTTTTTTTTTTTGCCATTCATAAGACATTCCTGTCTTCATTATCTCTGCTCCAGTCTATACCTTTCACGTATGTAAGTGATTCCTGTTTTAATCTGAACCCTTCCACTCTTTGGGCTGTACTAAATAACTAGAACATTTCTGAATTTCCCTACTTAACAACCCAGTTCCCCATCCTCAGAAAAAGAG